CAAACAAACAAAACCCTACAACAATGACAAAACAAAACAAAAACTTCAATCAAAAAGAAAGAAAATAGGAAAAACTGAAACAATTTTAAAGTGGGCCAAAAGGGAGATCAAATGCAAAGGTGTTAAATTTGACCTAGCCACCTCTACCATATGCACTTTACCATGCTCTCTGTCTGCTAGCAAGGCTATGTCACACCCCTGGACTTGGTCAGAAGTGTTTCCTTGGAGGCTTCATCCATGTGGGGACCCTGCATATGAATTTGGGGCATTCACTGTCATCCATAGCCTTCTGCAAACCAGGTGGTCACAACTTAAGCTCTGAATTTAAGTTTAATTTAAATCCAAAATCCTTTAGATTTGGATTTCATTTTGGACAATCCTTAGTTCACACAGGCTGGTGTGCTTCTTCCATGTGGGCTTAGTTGACACCTCACATAGAAGGTTGTTTGTTTGAAGACAGGCCTTACAGTCCCAGATGCTATTCTTTTGGATAGCCCAGGAAAACACCTGGTTTTAAAGCGTACTTTCCTATTACACTTACATCTTCAGCAATCGCTCCAGGAGGGCAAATAGCAAGTAGACCCATGTCATATGAACGAACTGTTCTTAGGTTGTGGTTAGAATTAAGTTTGATAAAAAAACCATTCATTTATCTATGGTTTATAAATGTTTTTATATGTTTTGGGGGTTACCAGGAATTAGACTGGATTTGATGGCAAGTGCTTTTTGCCTCTTTGAATTCTGTTTGTCCTGTGAACAAATTCATTTAATGTCATTCTAGGGAGGTCTCCAAAGGGAGAGAATAAATGCTTTTATTCAATCTGCTGGCTTAACTCAGAGTCCTGAATGAATACTTTATATACTGCATTGTTCATAACTTTTGCCTGGACTATTTTATTATATTTTGAAAAGGCAGATGGGAAATGGACATTAGATCTGAGTTCACTGAGTTCAATACTAAAATAATTTAATAGTCAAAAGGGAAAAAAATTCCCTATGGGAAATTGTTATCAATACTTAGCCATAAATGTATTTTTTGTTTATTTGTTTTTAATGGAAAGGATTACTTTATTTGATGTAATTTCTTTTAAAAAAAAAGTCATTTTATTGGGGGCTCATACAACTCATCACAATGCATACATACATCAATTGTATAAAGCACATTTGTACATTTGTTACCCTCATTATTCTT